CAGCCGATAGGCTGCTGTTGGCTTTTCCACTGATATCTAAAGTATTAATCATAACATTTCAATAAAACTTAGTACATAGATGTCATATGACACTTCACAGACTGATGGTTTTTAGGGTAATATCAGTACATGTTAATTACCTATTATTTGCATAATTAATTAATTTTCAGCTTTTGATATTTTAAGTAGTAATGATCACATTTCAATGAAACCTGGTACATAGTTACTTGAGGACTGTGCAAAGACCTAATTAGTTTTTGGGTAAATATTTATGCATATTAATCACCTTATTAGCATAATTAGTTAATTTTCAGCTTTTCGCCTGATAACTCAAATACTGATCATCATATTTCAATGAGACTTGCTACATAGATCCTCTATAACTATGCAGAGACCTGATTAATTTTGGGGTAAATAATTGTGCATATTAATTACCTAATTTGCATAATTAGTATAAAAAAAATGCTGTTCCATGGCTGTTGTACTGATGTCTAAAAAATCACTCATTGGATTTTAATGACACTTTTAGAGTACTCATAATCACATTTCATTGAACCTAGGACTATACGCCATATTAGTTTTTGGTAAATATTTATGCTTCTTAATCACCTAATTAACATAATTAATTGATACTGGTATCTCATGTACTGATCATCACATTTCAATAAAATTTGGTACATAAATGCTCTAGGACAATAGACAGCCTGATTAATTTTGGGTTAAAATCTGTTCATATTATTTCTCTAATTAGCATAATAATTACTAACTTTTTCGTTCTAATCACATTTCATGTACAGTGTTAAATTCTATGGTTCATCTATTTCCAAAACGTTTTTAAGATGACAAAAATATATCACATGATTTTGGATGCCGATCATGTTATCTGGCCTTCTTGTCATAATGTTCCTTTCACTCTACTGCCCTCTATAGCTTTACTGTATGATGCTTTTCTAACATGCAGACATAGTTTATTGGACACAAAGATCAATTCAGTGTTATCTATGAGTCAAGATCAAGCCACCCTCTGTGCAGTACAGAATATCATTCAGAATGTGATATCATGTGATGATGCAGCTACGCAGCAACAGATTTCCAATCTGCAGAGTGAGTAAAAACTTTGTTGTTGAATATATCACGTAAGTCAAAAAACAATTCTGTCATAATCAGAACAGTCTGAAATAGTCTGGATTCTTGGTATCTATCTATGCATCCAACTTGGTATTGAAATCACCAATGGTGTGTTACTAATACATGTTATTGTGTTTTGGGATTCAGAATGGCCAACTAGCAGCCATTTATTTTTTACATGTTTCCTTCCTGTTTTTAGATACACTAATTTAAAATGAACCCAAATTTGCCACTTTTAATTAAACTTAGTACAAAGGGAAGACAGTTTGATATTTGTTTCCAGTAACATTTTGGGATATCCTTTTCCCTTCTGTGTTCTCAATGTCTATTCTGTCAAATACATATGGTGACTATGCCATTGACAATGACTTGAATCTTAAATTATCAAGGATGAAAGTATGACATTTTGATCACAATCTGATTTTGAGCTTTGAAAATATTAGCTAGCTTTATTCTACCTTAATTCTAACTTAAATTGTTATTAAAATCACTATTATATCTACTGTAAAATGCGTTATTTTAGCTGGAATTAATTTTTGCTGTAAAGACTTTTTGGGTGTTTTGTATGGAATTTATTTTCAC